ACTAGACTGTATGGATGCATGACACCCTGTATATGTATATTTGAACTGCAGAGGGCACATATACAGTACACAACTATACACAAAAGAAAACTACTCCTCAGTAAAATAGACTGGTAACATGTAGTTGACAGGTCGTGATTAACGCTGCAGTTGATCAGAGATCCGAGCTAAAGTTTGACTCAGGTGGTTTTTCTTCTCTTTCAGGTAGGACTCGAGGTTTCGAGCTTCGGTCACAATATCCTGCAGTTTTTTCATCTGTGCAGTATCTGCTGCAGCTCTCTCACTGAAACAAACCCCAAACGGTGGGTTACACTTAAAAAGGAATAGCTGAAGATCACTGTTACAGAGCTCATGATTCATTTGCTGATGCAGTACATGAGGAAACGAATCTTGCAGCAATATTCAGTGACTAAACAATGTGTAGTGACTTTTGGGGAAGAGAAATCTAGAATACTTACAAAAAAAAACAATAACCAAAGGTCAACTTATTACTAACATAATAATCACAGCAATCGAAGAAATTGTCAACAAAAATTGTGGCAACCCACTCAACCTCTTTCCACAAACCTGAGCTGGTGCCTCTGTTAACTATGAGCCATCACCCACATTCACACGACCCGATGTTACTAATCACTGTGATCACAATAATAAATCATCTAAAAAACAATGACAAATGAAAATACCAGGATTTCTCATAGTATTACTACAAAAATAAATTCCTAGTACTACTACTTGTATGGCTCTTACAATGTGGTTGTTGGTCTAGCAAGTGAAAAAATATGACTTGTTTGTGGTGTGGCTGTGAAAAGTTTGGGGATCACAGAAGTTGTTAGAATTAGACCTCGACTTTATTCACCACATCTTTCTCTCCTCAGCAGGAAGTGCTGAAACCTTTATCTACAGCAGAGCATTTCAAATAGAAAGACTGAATTTGAGTTATTAGTATGCAGCTTTCTTCTCCTTGACTTTATTCCCAAATACAAACCAGCCCCTCACCAGAATATGTATGTTTTCCTTCATTTATCCTTCACTGTCAGCAGTTTTCAGACGAAGCGCTCATAACTCTTAAATTCTCGAGTATTTAAGCGTACTGAATATTTATTGTTTATTAGTAGACAACAGAAGGAATTCGGATTAAGTTGATAAAATATGACCTACCCTAACACCTCAGCAAATTGTGAAAGCAGCTTGTTGATCTGTCTACCTGCACCTGCAAGGAGAAAAGATGAAACATTCATAAAACTTTACTTGCCATTTCATTCCACTTCATTATATGATCATTTTACCTTTTTGTATAATTATTTTAAATGTTTTATTCATGTGAGTTGAGGTGTGGCCACTGGTCCGCAGTTCAAAAATACACCCCTCAGTCAAATCTTGACGATGTGATTCTGAATACTTCAATCTCTACTTGTTTTACACCTCTCATAGGAAACACAACCTCCTGTGACCTGCGGCTTGTGTCAGTAGCAGTGAGAAACCAGTTTGATGCTTCTTTCATTTGTTTGGTAAACACAGTTACTGAAAGACGTTGCACATACCTGCAGTTGTAGCCGCAACTAAACATGGTGACTCTAAAGAGGATGGTGTAGCAGGAGGTCTTTTCTTTTTTGGTGGAGATTTGTCTCGATTTTCAGGTGTACGTTCCATCTGTCGTAAAAAAGAGATTAGATAGTTTGAAAGATATTGTTTTAGTGCAACTATCTATCAAACTGTCTGTCTGTCTTTTTCCACAACATATTCATCTGAAATTAATAAAGTATTTTTCTCTCCTGAATGTTTTATTAGCATTAAGAGCTGATACTCGTACCTCTTGGGATGTTGTCTGTTTGGGGCCTTTGCTGTCGTTTGCTACCCTCTTGTGAAATGCTGGTGGAGTTGTTTTTTCCGCCACTGGTGTTGTTTCTTTCATTGTGTTGTAGTGCTACTGCAAATATGACATTAAATACACATAACAGCCATTTGTTAGTGTCTCAGTACCATCACACAGTGTTACAATATACAGTAGTTAGCACACAATGGGCCTATGCAGCAAATCTTTAATATTTATGTTCTTTAATATATCTTTAAAATATAACAACTGGCTACTGCCAATGGGCCCAGCTCATGGTTGGGAGTACACACTGTTGTTATTGTGCTGCCTTTGCTTTTGTAACTGTTGATCTGGTTACTCCGAGTCAAAATCAGCTTTACTGTCAATTTCTTCCATGTGTATGGGACATAGATGGAATCAAAATACTGCTCCTCTCAGACGCCCAGTGTAAACATACATAAACAAACAGCAAATAAGAGCTACAACACAACAAATAAGAGCTACAACACAACAAATAAGAGCTACAACACA